TTTCAAGACCTAGAATTTATACTTTTCTGAAAAACAGATAAATCTTCTTTTATTTTTTACTGGTGAGAGAGAGAGAGAGAGAGAGAGAGAGAGAGAGAGAAATTTTGTTCTATTTATTTATGCATTCATTGGTTGATTCTTGTTTGTCCTTGACCTTGGATCAAACTCAGTACCTTGGCATATCAGGATGATGTTCTAACCAACTGAACTACTGGGCCAACGCTAGATAAATCTTCTTTATTTTGATGTAGCACAGACATATTTATTAAAAGGAGTTTCAATAGCATGAGGTCAGTTTGGGATAATATCTTAGTGTGAAGTTATGCTCTAAAAATAGGTTACTATTATTGGCATCGATCTCTTCTTTTTCCTTTGTTCTCAGGTTTGTGATTCAAAATTCTTAATAATATGATATTGTTTTAGAAGTTTGTCTTTACCATTTCAAATAAATTTACACTGTTTGAACAGAATGAACTAGATATCAAATTTAAGGAAGTTACAAGAAGAATTCGGTGGCTCTCTAGCAATTAGATGACCATAATTTCTCTTAAAATAGGATGTCATTTATACCAAAGCATGTAATAATATTCCATGCAGCATAAGCATTGTTGTTGTTGTAACTCTGTGGCAGAATGACTTGGTGATATTTATCTTAGTACCTGTTTATTATAAATATTTCACAGGAGCCATGTCCTATGCTGAATTGGGAACAAGTATAAAGAAATCTGGTGGTCATTACACATATATTCTGGAAGTCTTTGGCCCATTACCAGCTTTTGTACGAGTTTGGGTGGAACTGCTCATAATCCGGTAAGTGCATAAGTAGGAAAAAAAAAATACACCCTTCTTTGAATTACCATGATTATTTTAACCGAATTAAAACATGCATGCCATGTGACTATGCTGTAAACATGTCTACTTCAGGACACAATGTCTGTGATGAAATACCTTTTCTCAAATAATGTTTTCCATGCAGTTTTGCCACAGGCAGTAGTTTGCCAACCATGCCAAACTTTTTAGCAGCTGCTTTTCTTTAATCTTCAATTATTCTTTATGACATTTCAGGAAAGATGTTAATCTGAAAAGACATGAAGCATCAAATTCCACCTGGATAGCCCTAGTCAGTTTGGCTCAGTGGATAGAGCGTTAGCCCACAGACTAAAGGGTCCTGGGTTCGATTCTAGTCAATGTAACATTCCCCAGTTGCAGGCTCAGTCTTGGTTGGGGCCATGCAGGAGGCAACAAATTAATGTGTCTTGCTCACATCAATATTTCTCTCTGTGTGTGTCTTCCCTCCCTTCCAATCTCTCTAAAAATCAATGGAAAAATATCCTCAGGTGAGGATTAACAAAAAAATCCAGCTTGATAAATCACATCTTTTGACCAGCCAGACACAATGAAGCCCTAGGCTAGAAGCTGGAGTTGTCACTCTTGTGGATTACACCACTAAGGCATTTCACTTTCCTCAGTTTTTGTGATTAGGAACATTCCATGCTTCTTCACAACTTAGTGTGTCACCAAGTTTAAGGCTTTACAAAGAAATAAGACTTTACTCGACACAAATGACTCACATCCTCATGTTAAACAAATCATTGTGAAAATCTTTTTTGACTTTGCTCTTGTAGCACTGTGTTCCTCTTCCCAAGACTCTTGGTTTAGAATCAAGCCCAGTTGTGCTAAGTCACCCTGACTAGAAAGTTCCTTCCAACTTCATGGGAAACGTATGATGTCATTTAAAGTATCCCAATCCCTTAAGTTTAATTGCTTTCAGAAAACACGACCTGCACTTTCTGATCACAGAGCTTAACAGAAATAACTAGGAAAACTTGTTCTTCCTGTAAACTTACCAGTAACACACACCTGAGAGCTCATGAGCTTTTATCGTATCTAAATGGCAAAGACAGCACTGATTTATAAGCATTGATTTAACACTAGTCTTGATTTTTATAGTCCTAGGAGTCTCTTTTTTAACAAAGACCTTCAGAGTGGAATTTACTTCTTTGATAAGTGTGTTCTCATTTTAAACAATTCTACATCATTTAAAACTTGTTATAATGAAAAAGAACTACTTTGTTCTTTTTATAAAATCTGGGATTTTCCCAGAATGTGCCTTCCACTCTTTTCTGGTGATCTAAATCTTACTCCTCAAAGGTCAACTTAAATTCCGTCTTTTTCACAGTTAATTTCCTGTTCACCCTAGTTAACGGTCTTTCTTCTCTAATTCTTGTGAAACGTGCAGTCTCTGCTTCTCCTTTGATGTTGAACGTACTATCTGTATTCTTACTTCATATTTTAGAAGTCTGTGTTCTGGTTCCCTGTTAAAATTTCCAGTAATCATCTGTAAAACATAGATTTAAAGGAAAGAAATATCACACATCAGTACAAAGCAGGGGCCATTAGATTGAATTCACACATTCACCATATAGTCAATATTTATTGGGTTTCTATTACATGATAGACATTATACTGAACACTGGGGATAAAATAGTGATTAAGATGGACACAGTTTTATATGCATGGAGCTCAGGGTCAGTGAGGGAAATAGTTATCAATCAAGAAATCACATAAGTGAATGTAAAGTTGCTACAATATAAGCACTGTGAAAAGGAAGCCAAGGGGTTCACTAAGAGGGTATGCCAGGGAGATCTCACACAATCAGAGGACTGGAGGAAGATTGAACTAGATCTGAGCTATAAAAAACTGTCAAAGAGTCCAGGGGCTCCAGGCAAAGGGATCCTTTGCCACGGATCCTTCTAGTGGGAAGAAGCAAACTGAAGGAAAAAGGGAAATTTTACACTAGCTGGAGCCTGGAAATGAAGGATTTTTGCATGTCTGGAGCATGCTTTGAAAGCACTAAAATGACATGATCAGATTTTAAATTACACATCAAAAGACTTATAAATGATGGAGAACAGGAAAAATAGTCCTGTTTTGGAGTAGAAAGGGGGTCTCCAGGAAAAGAAGGAGTCAGAGTTGTAGCTCTGTCTGGTACCAGCAGGCCACACAGTCTAGGGCAGTGATGGCTAACCTTTTGAGCTCGGCGTGTCAGCATTTTGAAAAACCCTAACTTAAATATCAAAAAATTTCTATATGTGACACGGCACCAGAGTTAAGTTAGGGTTTTTCAAAATGCTGACACGCCGAGCGTCATAGGTTCGCCATCACTGGTCTAGGGACTGGGTGTGGGTGTTGGGTGACCACGGGAAAGAGGAGAAGCTGGAAGGGAAAATTGAGAAATTAGATAACCCCATGGCTTGTCTGTATATATATATATATATTTAAACTAAGAAGACATGGATAATTTTAAGAGAAATATTTGAAGAATTAAAAATGAAAATGCCTATTCCCTATTTTGCTATGTACCTATACATATTTCATTTTCTTATTTCACACATATTTTTCTCACTTGTGTAAAATTACAAGAGTATTTCTATTTTTCAGCTTATACTTTGAATCTAAATATTTCCATGGAATTATGGAATTAAGAATAATCACTTGGCTCTTCAAGTTTTTGTCCATACTGGAAAAGTAATAATAGTGTCAAGTATGTAGGCGTGTATTTACAATAAACACTTACTAATTTTTTGTTGAGTTTTGTGTTCATTTTCCTGACCATGCCCCATCCCATTCGATATGCACTGTTAACACATTCTTTCTGTGGCTTTAGTGAGAAAGAAGCCTGCTTTTGGTGAAGCTCAGCTCTGTCAGGATCTCAAGTAATAAACTAGACTTTTAAGGGGAAAAAGGGCAAATATGGGAGAACAGAGCCTTGCTCACAAAGAAATGGGAAGTTTAAAAACTATCCACCAAAGTTATTGACAAAATTTCATTTGAAATGTTGGTGACAACCTAATCAAATATGTAGTTCTGAAAATTATAAACTCTCATGTTTAACATGTTCCATGTGCTTGAATAAAAATACCTCATAATAGAAAAAGTTTATTGAAGATGCTATTTTTTTTTGTAGTAACCTAAACATGTATGTTTTCTAGCCCTGCAAGCACTGCTGTGATATCGCTGGCATTTGGACACTACTTCCTGGAACCGTTTTTCATTCATTGTGAAATTCCTAAACTTGCAATCCAGCTCATTACAGCTGTGGGCTTAAGTGAGTATGAATATGAAATACAAAAACACACCACAAAAATGATTGGAGATAGTTCTTCAGACTTTTTACATGGTCGAACCTACTTCCCACATCATGTTCTTTTTTTGCTTATAGTTCCTTGCCAAATTTGTGTTGGAAAAGAATAATATTTGGTGAGCTACCCCATTATATTACATGTCAGTTTCCCATTGGTGCAATATCCAGGATAGCTAATCATTTAAAAGGCAAAGAAAAACCACCTTGTTGGTAAAATAGAAATTGGTTACATGGGGAGGAAAAACAATTACAGATGAAAACCAAATTATTATTTTTTTAAATATATATTTTATTGATTTCAGAGAGGAAGGGAGAGGGAGAGAGAGAAACATCAGTGATGAGAGAGAATCATTGATTGGCTGCTTCCTGCACAACCCACATTGGGGATAGAGCCCGCAACATGGGCATGTGCCCTGACTGGTAATTGAACCATGACCTCCTGATTCTCAGGTCAGCACTCACTCAACCACTGAGCCACGGCCAGCAGGGGGAAAACCCAATTATTTTATGGATTTTTAGTATTAGAAATTTCCCTCCTCAGTGATAAAACATGCTGAATTATAACTCATTAATCCTCATGGAGTGATGTGTATGTGTTGGGTGTGTATGTTGTGTTCATACATTTAATGGTGTTAGCAGCTGTCTCAGTGTATGGGTTTAGTTGCCCATTGGTAATCACGATGAGTCTTCTTTCTATATTTGATTATTAGTAGCATTTCTTAGCTAGGAGTTTTCTTTACAATCTCCAAATTAGTAACTTGCTCATTTTTGTCAATGGGCACAGGTCGTAGAAAATTTATAGAAACAAATAAAAAAAGAGGATTTTGCACAACATTACATAAGTGATATAAAAGCCAAGTATGACTAAGTTTTTAGAAGGGTGGAGCTTCCAAACCTTTGACTCTTACTGGAAACGATAACTTAATTCTAGATGCTACTTGAGTCAAACTATTTTAAGAATCAACATTTGATTATTTAAATTACTCAGAAATGAAAAGCTACACAGAAATAACTGAATTATATACTCATAGAATTTTTAGTTATGTGTAGCTCAAGTATTTCAATGGAACAATGAAGAGGATGAGGACGATGCACATTTGATAGCACAGGGGTGAGTGGTTAGTTTTCAGGAAAGAGGAATTACACATAAAAATGTGGTAGTGGTTATAGCTCAGGCTCTGGAGGCCAGCAACCTGGAATTGAAACTTCATGTCTCAACTGCTTAGTTGTGTGATTTGGGCCTAAAAATTAAACCACTTTAAGCATCAGTTTTATTTATTGGTAAAACACCTGTGAAAAGATCATTTATCTTGAATGGCTGTAGAAAGATGAAGCTATGTTAAATGTTGAAGGCCTTTAGCAGAGCTGCCCATAAAAATTTTTGATAAATCTGGTATTCCACTATGGGACACACTAAAAGCCAATGTTGTGCCCATTCTATTCTTGTCTCTGGATTAACTGAGGCAGAATCATACTCCAATTATTATATTTGAAAAGAGAAAGGTAAGGGTAGTGTTTTTGAGGGCTCTATAAATTGCCAATAGAAGTTACTAATTAAAAACCATAACCAGCAAACTTTAAATACATTCTATGTAAACATTTACAAATCCACAAATATTGCCCACTTTGGCCTGGAAATAAGCTGGACAAAGGTTAATACATTACTATTTTGGGAAGTCTAGGTGACTATTTTCTTATTTACTCAAATTCTATTAAATAATTTTAAGGGAAAATTTGAATTTTGGGGAAGTTAATGGTAACCATACAAATTAAAATTTTAAAGCAATTATATGTAAGGATAACTAAGCATGTTATAATTTGCAAAACTTCTTTATGTAGTAGAGATTGGCGACTAAATAGTTAACAAAGAGTCAGTAAATCTTGGGTGAAGCTAGACATTCCCTTCTATTTCTGCAATTAGTTATAACATTTGTTTACAAATTCTGATGTTCTTTTGGAAGCTTGAAATTTTGAGGAAATGTGTTCCTATAATAAGAAGCATTAAAAGAGAAAAACAAACAAACACCCAGATATTCTTATGACTCAGTGGGAGTTAATGTAAGTCAGTGGCTAATTGGGAAAGTCAAACTCCCTTTGAGAAGAATTTAGCTTTAACGGAGCAAAGGGAACTGGGGACGGCAACAGAGAAGGAGAAATTCACCTGGGGGCAAATTTCTCACAGTCCGCATTATTCAAAGTTGAGAGAGGTGACTTTCTGTTTGCTGGGGGTGGAAGGTTAGTGAGAAATAGAAAGTAGAGTTTAATTGTATGAACTGCTTCTTATATTCCCTGGAGAAGGAAATCATTTGTGGTATTTCAATATAGAAGAGCAAACCTGAAGGGTTGTGTTATAATCCAATCACAGAAAGAAAAATGAATTTCAAGTTTTTTTAAACGTTAGCCAACCATTTAAGAAATGAGAGTGGGGATGGAGAGTTACTGAATGCTAATTTACTCCTCATCCCCCTTTAAAAAGTACAGAGGTCCCTGACTTAACAGTGGTTTGACTTATGGTTTTTATTTTTTAAAATATGTTTTTATTGATTTCAGAGAGGAAGGGAGTGGGAGAGAGAAATAGAAACATCAATGATGAGAGAGAATCATTGATCGGCTGCCTCCTGCATGCCCCCAACTGGGGATCGAGCCTACAACCCAGGCATGTGCCCTTGACCATAATGGAACATGGGACTATTCAGTCTATAGGCCAGTGCTCTATACACGGAGCCAAACTGGCCAGGGAGACTTACGATTTTTAGACTTTATGATGATGCTATAATGATTCACACTGTGGATGAAAGGGGCCACATGCTAATCTGACTAGCTCAGGGAAGGCCTGCGTGGCGGTCTTGCAAACTCAGAGACCTAAAGTAACCACAAACGATGGTCTGAAATTAAACTTTCACTAAAAGCAGTTATGGTGGGTAGCTAAATCCTAGGCCAGTATCCTCACTGACAAGGTCAACCTTTACTTTAACTGAGCCTATCTGTCTTTTCGCATCTGTGATAACATAACTTGTGACTTCCCTTTTTTCTGGACCCTTTGGGCGCCAGGACAGATACCACAAATTCCTTCATTGTTAATCATGTTCATTGTTCCTGCACCCACCTAAGTATGTGTCTATCATTTTACTTTTTATCCAATCCCAGAGGTTTCCCCACTTTGCTTTCTCCCGCCTCTCTAGTCTATCACCAGTGGATTTCATGTAACTCACCTACATCCCTTTCCTTTGATTGCAATGTATAAATACAGATGTAACCCGCCATTCTCGGGAGCATTATCTCAATTCATTGAGGTTCTGCTTCCTGGCTTATGTCGACAGTTTGGCTTAAACAAACTCACAAAAATTCTTTACAGGTTTCAATGGTTTTTTTATGTTAACATTACTCAGTAGAACCCAAACTTCAAATTTTGATTTTAATAATTTTTTACTATATTCTGAGCATATTTAAGGTATGCTTGGCTAAGCTATGATGTTCAGGAAGTTAGGTGTATGAAATGCATTTTCGTCTTAGAATATTTTCATCTCACAAAGGATTTATCTGGTTGTAACCCCATGGTAAATACAGGAGCATCTGGGCTCTACTTCATTTCTGTCAAATTACTAAGGATGAGAATCTGTGTTTATTCAAAGCCCTCTCCATTGGGGTAAACATGCGAGTCACATGGAAGTGTAACTGGGAAATCTTATATTCAAGTTTGGCATTCCCCTCTTTCCCAATACTGACATTTTACTCCCTTTACCTTTGGTGGAACCCCACGAATTTTCACTGTTTTTGTAGTTTCAAGAAGCACTGATATGCATATGTTGAATATTTAAAATGATATTTTGTCTGTTGTTCTGGTCTCATGAAACTAAATCCTAAGTAAGCATACACTCTAAAGGAAGAATAATATAATAAAAATATTTTTTCAGAATGTGAGATCTACTCCCAGATCCAACCCTCGCAACCCCCCTGAGTTTTTGAGTTTAGTTTATGTAGGTGAGTAGACAGCCCTGCCCAGCTTCTCATACCTGTGAGAATAATTAGGGGAAGCAAACAAACTAAAAATAACATGTGATTGCATTGTAAGAAAAAATTAGCCAGTTCTACAAACGCATTACTGTATTTTCTTTTCTGAAACTGTATTTTCCTGGCATCAGTGACTTACATGAAAGAAAATCTAGGACCAGTTCTGTGCTAGCATTTCTAATATACCATGTCGAGTGGGTTTGTTTCATCTTCCGAAGTCTGGCTGTACTTAATCCTTTTCTACCATAACTAAATTACCAAGACAGCCAAGTCTTAGGTAGATATGCATAGTATTTAAATCAAGGGGTCCTCAAACGACGGCCCGCGGGCCACATGCAAATACAAATATTGTATTTGTTCCCGTTTTGTTTTTTTACTTCAAAATACGATATGTGCAGTGTGCATAGGAATTTGTTCATAGTTTTTTTTTTAAACTATAGTCCGGCCCTCCAACTGTCTGAGGGACAGTGAACTGGCCCCCTGTTTAAAAAGTTTGAGGACCCCTGATTTAAATACACAAGTACTGCAGAAAAGAACCATTTTCTTCAGGAAGATAACAATGAAATGTGTCACTGAAGTGTCCCGAAATCCCAGCCAAGACAAACATGAACTTTAGCAGAGAGGGGGAGTCACCAGGAGTTTGGAAGAACCAGGTGTTCTAGTGAGATCATATTCTTTGAGCTACTTCCTCCTTGTTACCTAGGAACTAGTGGCAAAAGTGAGCACTCTGAAGGCAGCCTACCTTGGCTCCAATCCTGTCTTCACACTTACCTATGTGAACATAGGCATGTTCAATAATGTCCTGAGTCTTATCTGAAAAATAAGGCCAGTGATGGTAACCACATCATAGAGAGGTGAAGATTAAATAACATATCCATGTCAAGTCTTTGCACTGTGTCTGCCATGTAATAATAGTTTGCATTTGTGACCAGCCTAACCCAGTGTCTTTGCCT